GCCTCGGTCTTCTCCGTTGGGGCCGACGCCAGGCCTTCGTTCCCTGTTGCCCTCTCTTCCCAGGGATCCCCTCCTCCTCCTCCTCCTCCTCCTCCTCCTCCTCCTCCTCCTCCTCCTCCTACTCCTACTCCTACTCCTACTCCTACTCCTGCTCGGATGGGGGAGATACTCAAGACTCGAATCGATCGGACAAAGAGAACCAAACCCCCCTGTGGTCTCCAGGACCAGGCCCAGGACCCCCCCCCCCTGTCGCTCACCAAGGGATCTGGGGCCGCCGGCGGATCCGTTCCCACGCGGGTTGCACCTCCCTGGCCAAGGAGCTCCACGGTCTGGTTTGGGATTCCCAGGGCCTGGCTCAAGACAGTGACTCTGTTGTTGGTGCTTTCAGGGCCATCCCAGGGGCTCGGGTCGACTTGAGGTTCCAGGAGTTTGCGTTCGACAGTCTGATTGTTTCCAGTCTGCAACTTCTTCTTCTGCAGGTTGGCGCGCTGGGCAAGGGGCCTCCAACCTGAGCCTCTCTGATTGCATGGTCGGTCTGGCTCGGCTGGATCGCGCGATCCAACTTATGTCCCAAACTATGGTGCAATGCACGGCCAGGCTTATCGCGCGGGAACGTGCCAAGGACAAAACTGCCCACATCTCGCATGTGACTGCTACGGTTACGTGTGCATTTTCAGCCAAACAGTCCAGAAATGTTTTAACTGCCCTTCGCCGCAGTGGGATAGGTTCCGCTAAGAGAAGGAAGGCGTCTCAACCGGCTATTGTCCTAATGAAGGACGGCACCATGGCACAAACGGCTACCGACGCTCGACACAGGTGGCTTGAGCACTTCTCGGACCAGGAGCTGAGTACCCAAGTTCCCGCCCAGGAAATCCTCTCCCTTGTTCAGGAATCCGAGATCCCCATCTTTAGCATCCAGGGCCAGGCTGTTCACCTGATTCCTACCAGGGTCGAGTTCGAGCAAGAGTTGCTGAAGACCTCCCCCTGTGCGCGAATGGGCTCGACGGGGTCGCGGGGGCTCTCCTGCAATATTGTCCCCATGTTTGTGCGAAGGTGTGTTACCCGCTGTTACTGAAGTATTCCTTGGGCCTTCGGGAACCTCTTCAATGGAAAAGCTCTATGCTTCACGAGATCTACAAGGGCAAGGCCCCCCCCCCCCCCAGGAATGCAAGTCTTGTCGAGCCATTGCTTTGGGACCACAGATCGCCAAAAGATCGCACGCTACTTTAAGCTCTAGGCTGCAACCTTTTCTGGAGAAGTTCGCTGCTGATTCTCAGCACGGAGGCATCGAACACCGTGGCGCGGATTTTGCATCTCACTTCACCCGCTCCTTGCAGCAGCTTGCAGTTAAGAGATCAACCAGTTTAGGGCTGTTGTTTATCGACCTCGAGGCGGCGTTCCACCGAGTTATTCGGGAGCTCGTGGTTCGCTTCAACTCCGAAGGCGACGTTTCGGACGAAAGCGTTGCTCAACTGGTTCAGGCTTCGGGACTCCCCCCTGAGGCTATGCGTGATTTGGTTGCGGCCCTGGGGTCCAAAACCATTCTGGAAGAGTTGGAGGTCCCTGCGCACCTGTCTGCTCTCCTGGCCGAAACTCTTACGAACGCGTGGGCTACCACCCCTGGGGCCGGTAAAACCGCCGTCACCTCCACCAGCTCCAGGCCAGAAAACACGCGTGCCTCCCAAGTTTTTCTTTTCATCATCTCGAGGTGTCTCCACCAGGCACACCAGGCGCTCGAGAAGGCCAACCTCGTCTGTGAGTTTCCTGCTCCCTCGCGCAAGACCCTGGACATCGGGGTTCCCGACGACATCACTGTTTCAGCAGATGGTGCCAACTACGTAGATGACTGCAGGTTTTTCGTTCTTGCCGAGGCCACGCTTCTTGTCCAACAGTTGCGAGCTATTTCGACTGTTGTGGTTAATGCTCTTACTCCAGCTGGACTCCGACTCCACATGGGCCCGAACAAAACAGCTACCATGCTCACGTTCAGAGGGAAGGGCCCGGTTACGGCCCGCAAGCAATTCTGGTTGGATCATGCTGGCCAGATTTCGGCTTCTGCGCCGGCTACTTCTCACAGTGGGGTGTCTCTTGGGGCTGTTCATACCTAGTGCATTGTCTCGGGCAAGATGGCTCTTGGCCCCGAGCTGGCCAATAGGGTGAACTCTACGGCTGGGTCCCAGAGGACCCTCAGGCAGGCCGCTTTCCAGAATCCACCCCTCTCCCCACCTCCGACCAGCTAACGCTGGCGGATGTGTGGATCATGTCCGGCAGGCTCTGCGGCGCGAGCGTCTGGCAAGAGCCAACGGCAGCGCAGTTTCGCAGGTACGCCACCCAGATTTTGACGCTGCACCGTGCGGCGATTGGGGCGCCTGCCTGTGGTCTTAACGCCCAGAGTGACGAGGCCGTCCTGGCCATGGCTGATCGACCCGACCTCGCCACCCTTCTCCGTTGGCGTAGGCTTCGATACCTCCCGAGACTCTACAAATATGGGCCCCCTCACCTAGTCGCTCTTATCCGTCTGCCGGCTAGCGTGAAAGGGTCGTGGCACTCGCTGATCATCGAGGGCCTACGCTGGATACGCGACAGAGTTTCGGAATACCATGAGTTTCCAACGCCAGTTGGTGACTTCCCCAAATGGGAGGCGGAGATCTGTAAACCTGGTAGGGCTTGGGCCAACCAGGTTGCGAAGGCAGTTGTTGCTCATGTTCGCTGGCAGGCTTGGAACTATGTCGCTAGGCACCGTATCAAGTGTATCTTGGAGGAGGCGAAGGAGGAAGGAGTACCTTGTCATCGACCTAATGTACCTACCTTACCCCCCAAGCATTACTTGTGCCCGTACTGCCCTTACCACACGCCTAAATCACCTGCCCCACGTGCCCATGTGTCGTCTCAACATGTCCAACACCGTCGCCTTGCAGCTAGACACCTGGATTCCCAGATTTGCCCAGTATGCCTGACCTGTTTTGGTACTCTGGAGCTTGCGGTGGACCACATGGCGCACGGTAACCCACGATGTATGCTGTCGGCAATGTTGCATTTTACCCCAACTAACACTACTAAGCAGTACGAGTGTGCTTTAGACGAGGCTGCTGCAAGGGCGGTGGCGAGGTCTAAAGGTGCGATGCGAAGAGAGGCTGTTGTTCCTGCTTACAGAGTCCCTGGTCCCATTGACATCAGATGTAAGTCCAACGTTCCCTCTGCTGAAGCTTGGGCCCTTTATCAAGAAATCCGAGCACCAGCACGACCCCAGCAGGCCCCTCACCATCGATATTGATGTTCCCCGACACCCCGACGATGACGAATGGCCCTTCAGGCCTGAAGAATACGCTGGGGCCCCAGGCGATCAGCTTCCCAAGGAAGTTCAGTCTTCGATCCTTGCCTTTGTGCACCTGTTCTCTGGAGCTCGGCGACCGGGGGACCTCCAAGAGAACCTCGGGAGAGTGTTGCTTTCGGGACCCTGGACTGTGGTTGTGATCTCCCTGGGCATTGCCCTGGACCCCAACCTCGGCGACCTTCCTAAGATTGAAATCGTGGACAAATCGTGTACCTACCTGAGATCTGGACGACCCCTCGGCATTGCTGGAGGTCCCCCGTGCGAGTCTTGGTCTGCTGTTTGATGGAACAGATTGGCGGATGGTGCTGGTTCAGGCCCCCCACCACTTCGGACTTACCGACATGTTTGGGGTGGGCCCGATGTCTCCGTCAAGCAGCACTGGCAGCTTGTTGTGGGGAACCAGTTGCTCATCAGTGCTCACCACCTCCTGATGGTTTGTCTTGAAGTTGGAGCGTGTGGGGTCCTGGAGCACCCAGAACAGGCCTGGTGGGAACCCAGGGCCCCCAGCTCCTGGGAGCTGGACACCGCCAGAGCCATTGCCGCCTCCCACGCCGCTCGGATGACCAGCTTCGATCCATGCGTTTTCGGCCAGGTCAGTAAAGCTCCCACTACGTTGTTGGCTGTTCGCCTCCCAGAGCTCAGAGACACGATTCGTGGTCAGGGGTGTGACGGGAGATGTGCCCATCCTCGTGGATTTCACAGAGTATTGGAAGGGAGGGAGAAGGATGGTACTTGGAAGACCGCCCCCAAGAAAAGGTACCCCCCTGGGATGTGCGAAGCTATTGCCCGTGCTGTACGTGTGTACCTGGATCGTGCATGGAATGCCACTGGTATTGATCAGGACACGTCGGGCCTTCCTGAAGAACCAGTGCTTTTTCCAGGCGCTGGATCCCTATGTCGAGCAAGATACTGCAATTGCTCAAGAGTTCTCGGTTTTTGATGCCCGGAAAAAGAAGCGACGAGACCCACGTTTTGACCGACCTCCCCCCGCCGCAGAGGATCAGGGAGGTACGGATTGTCTCGGAGGTGTGGAGGAAGACCCGTTCTGCGACGAGGAGCGGCACACCACTGCCGCCACCAAGCCGGCCGAGGCCGCACCGGGGGCCCCTGCCCTCGCCCCTTCCCCTCCGCCCCCTGCCCACCCCACTGTCCCTGAGTTTTCTCCTGAGCTCAGGGCCTTAATTCAAAGAGGGAGGCCGCCCAGGAGAAGAGGTGGGCGCGACAGCGCGCTGCCCTCGGACTCGACCCCAGGCCAGGCTCCCTCTTCGATCGGGCCCCCGACAGAGGGTGGGACCCGTTCGCCCATCAATCTTCTCAGTGATCCGTTTGGGGTCCCCAAGTACCAGCAGCGAGTCGACTCTTAGACGAAACGGCAAGTATCACGATCACGAGCACAACGGTCACATCGATACCGATGACAACGACAACGATCCGAACGATCGACAACGACAACGATGCCAATCGCTGTCGTCGTGATCGCTGTGGTCGTTGAAATCGTCATGGTTGTGGTGGCTGTGATCGTTGTCGTTGAACTTTCGGAGGTCCGAAGGCTTATGCCGATGCAGTTTGTTCTTCCTCGACTCCTGGAGCTTCGATCTCAGAGCCTCCACCTCTGGGAGCAGCTGGCGACACCCCTGGCGGTGAACCCCCCGTTGGCTCTGCCCGCCTGGCGGCGAGGGCGGACCACTCAGCGTCCGCGCGCCCAGGCTCCGGCGCGAGGACGCGGTGGAGCGCAAAGTTGCACTTCCGCCCCAGGGGGTGCGCGGCGCACGCGAGGCCCTGCACCTGAGGCAACCGCTGGTTTCGCCCAGGGCTGGTTTCGCCCGGGGCTGGTTTCGCCTGGCGCTGGTTTCGCCCGGGCTGGTTTCGCCCGGCTGGTTTCGCCCGGCTGCTGGAGGAGCTGCAGGAGGAGGAGGAGGAGGAGGGAGCAGGAGGAGGAGGAGGAGGAGGAGGAGGAGGAGGAGGAGGAGGAGGAGGAGGAGGAGGAGAGGAGGAGGAGGAGAGGAGGAGGCAGGGAGGAGGAGGAGGAGGAGGAGGAGGTGGGGAGGTGGGGGAGCAGGAGATTGAGGTGGAGGTGGTGGAGGAGGTGGCTGAGGGAGGACAGGACGGAGGGAGGAGGGAAGAGTGTTAGGGCCGCTGGACCCGACCCGACCCGACCCGCCCGTTAGGGTCCGCCTGTCCCGACCCGACCCGACCCGCTAGGGTCCGCCCGACCCGACCCGACCCGACCGTTAGGGTTCTCGCGTGCCCTTTCGATTATACTTTAATGTCCCGCCCGCCCGACCCGACCCGCCGGTTAGGGTCCGCCCGACCCGACGCGACCCGACCCGCCCGTTCGGGTCCGCCCGACCCGACCCGACCCGCCCGTTAGGGCTCTTCTCGCGTGCCCTCTCGATTATGCACCACACTTTAATGTCCCGCGAAACCAGCGGGGCGAAACCAGCGGGGCGAAACCAGCGCCGGCGAAACCAGCGTCGGGCGAAACCAGCGCCGGCGAAACCAACGTCAGGCGAAACCAGCCCTGGCGAAATCAGCCCCGGCGAAACCAGCCGGGCGAAACCAGCCCGTGCCGCACCTGAGGGGCAACTTAGGGAATCGAACTCTATACACCGACGCTTCTTCTGGCGCTGCATCGGAATTTGCACTGGAGAGCGGATCCTGGTGTAAACGGGACCCTGGTGTATACATGTTTCGTTGTTTCCCCGAGACATCGGGGAAGCAACTATACACCGCACCACCCCAGCGTCGTCCTCGACCCTCAGGAAATCCTGGGATTGAAAAACAGCCCGCCACTGGTAATGTATATGTTCCAGTTTTCGACAACTGTTTATGTAGGTTGACGACCGAAGAGTCGAAACTACTAGATTTCCCGCGGGTAGAGGACGGTAAGGGAGAGGGTCGCGATCCGTTCTCCCATGCGCCGCGGACAGGCGGTGCTGTACGTGATACCAGCACCTGAGCCGAGACAACGACCCCAGACGTCGGGAGTTTCGACATCGAGGCGGTGGTTTCGCACAACTCTCGGCCTCTCGGAGCCCTCACCAGGCCTCGGGACCGTCAGCGCACGACTCGTGATGAAGCGCCGGTCCCGGGGAAGTGGCCGAGATGTCGGGGGCGCGCGTCTGGAAAAAACTGGGGCGTCGGATGTCTGGGACAGGGTGGGCTGGCTCGGACGGGAAGCGCTGGTTTGGGAAATTTCGAGGCTGGAGGCTTGGGAAGTTCTCGGGCGCTTTCGTTGCCTCTCGGCGTCTTTCCGGCCCCGGGGCGCCTACCAGCAATTGCGCCTCGCCGAGAGCATGCTGGGGGTGCCCGGATCGTCCCGCTTGGCCCAGGGGGGAAGGCATCGTCCTGTAGTCGGCGAAACGTCGCTGACAGATCGGCGAGAGGCGCTCGAGTGCGAGTCCGCATGCTCCTTGGCGGAGTAGGCTATCGGCCAATCGTAAGCGATGAACGGCCGATTAAAAATCGATGCGCTCCCTCCTTAGATGCCTCCTGGATAGGGTCGGAGTGGATGGGGTCGGGAATCCGGCCGCATCGCCGATACATCGGCGATGCATCGTCGATGCATCGGTGATGCCCCAGCGATGCATTGGCGACGTCGACGGTGCATCGGCGACGTCGACGTGACAGATATCGGGGTCCACATCGGGCCGCATCGGCGTTGCATCGGCGGTGCGGCGCGATCCTCCACCCCGACCCCATCTAGGACCCAAACATCCGACGTCTCGACTGTTTCGAAACACGGGGCCCCAACCTCCCGAACACTTCCCATGCAGGTGCTGGTTTTTCATCTCGGTTCGGTTTTTGACGGTCCCGAGGCCTGAGAGGGTCCCGAGAGGCCGAGAACGATGAAAAACCTCGATCGAGACGCCCGATCTGTTTGGGGAGGCCCTGACCCCTGCACCTATTCCCCGTCCCGGGTGGTCCCCGGGCCACAACCTGAAATCCTGCGGCGGCCACTTCTGGACGATCCAAGCACCCCCATGGGACGCCCCAGTTATGGACGAGGCGCGCCTGCTGGAGCGCCCCCCCGGAGCTGGACAACCGCCGAAAACCGACGAACACGCTCGAACACTCGTTTTCCGTCGGCGGCGAGGCAGAGAAGCTGCTCCAGCGGCTGGCGAACCGGAGCGACCGAACAGCGAATTGGCCGGCGCGCAAGAGGGGGAACACGGGGGAAGAGGCGGCCACGCGGAGGACAGGAGGAGGAGGAGGAGGAGGAGAAGGAGGAGGAGGAGGAGGAGGAGGGGAGGAGGAGGAGGAGGAGGAGAAGGAGGAGGAGGAGGGCACTCAGACGGGGAAGATTTCCATGTCGAGTGGGCCGGTGCGGCCAGCAGCGGCAGCGGGGCCGTGGCGGCAGCCCCAAGCGCCTGAGAGTATCAAACATCAAACCTCAAAACCGCTGGAAATCCCGTTCTACAACGGGAGATCCCCTTCTAGAAAAGGATTTCCCCTTCTAGAAGGGGAAGCCCCCTTCTAGAAGGGGAAATCCCCTTCTAGAAGGGGATTTCCGGAAATCCCCTTCTAGCCGGACGTCTGGGTTAGAGCTCTAACCCAGACGTCCGGCTGCTCCAACTGTATGGGCTCTCTGGAGGTCTGGGGGCGGCTTCCCTGGGGCCGCTTGCTCGTCCCGAGCCGTTCTTGCTGGGACGGTCCCGAGGCCCGACGAAGGCCCTCGGAGGCCAAAATCGGCCGAGAACGCCCGCCCCAATCTTTTTGGGGGGAACGTCGGATCTCTGGGGACGTCCCCGTCCCCAGACCACCGACTTCATGATTTTCTCATGGCGTCGATCCCCAGGGTTCTGCACCCCTTCCCCGGAACCGGCTTTTCGTCCTGAGTCGTTTTTTTGACGGCCCCGAGGCCCGGTAAAAGCCCCCAGAGGCTGAACAAAGCGAAAAACCTGCCTCCGCCCCGATTTCTCCCAGACGCCCGGTGTCTGGGCCCTCGACTACATGAAATTAGGAGTGACCCTAGGCTAGAGTGACCTTTGGTGCGCGGCTTATAAGCCCAGACCCCCGACGTCATGATTTTTTCATGACGTCGACCCCCCGAGGTCTCGACCCATTCCCCGGGACCGGTTTTTCGTCCTGAGTCGTTTTTTGACGCTCCCGAGGCCCGGTAAGGGCCCCCAGAGGCCAAAAATAATGAAAAACCTCCCGTCGTGATTTTTTCATAACTCGAGGGGGTCTGGGAGGGGCGCCCGAAGGGGCCCAACGCAATCGCGCAAGCCGGGGTGGGCCCAAACATGGCGCGCTCAGATGCGAGCGTAATCACGCGATGCGGGTGCCCACGCGAGGTCAAGCTCATTCCACCAGAAAAATCATCCGACCCCGTTTGGGCCAGCACCAAAGGTCACTCCGGCGAAGGGTCACTCTTACGTGTAGTCGAGGCACTTTCCCGAGACGAGTTAACCTCCGCCCCGATTTCTTCCAGACGCCCGGTGTCTGGGCCCTGATACCCGTGAGAGCCGATGTCGTGTCTTTTTCCCTATGCGGGGCACCCGGCAGTCCCGACCCTTTCCCCGGGACCAGTTCCTCATCCCGAGTCGTTTCTTCTGACGGCCCCGAGGCCTGGCGAGGGCACCTCGAGGACAAAAACTGCGAAAAACCTCCGCCTGGATTCTGCTCGATGCGCTGCATCCCCAGAGATCCGACGTCTCGATGTTTTCGAGACGTGGGCCCCCGACCTCCCGACCACTTCCCCGGGACCGGTTTTTCAGCCCAGGTCGTTTTTTGACGGCCCTGAGGCCCGGCGAGGGCCCCGAGAGGCCGAAAACGACGCAACACCTCCGTCTCGATTTTTTCGAGACGCCCGATGTCTGGGTCTCTGGGTGCGTGCAGTCGATCGCCCCGCAGCGCCGGCCACGACCGCAGCGGCTCGGGCCACCACGCCTCGCCCAGGCAGGGCCTCCGGGCCTCCTCTCGGGCCGGGCGAATTGGGGGGGGGTCGCAAAAGGGGAGGAGGAGGAGGAGGAGGAGGAGGAGGAGGAGGAGGAGGAGGAGGAGGAGGAGGAGGAGGAGGAGGAGGAGGAGGGGGTGAGAATCAGCTCGCGTGGCTGATTTTCCTGGCGCCTCCCGGCGCAGGAGGCGGCCATGGTATCGAGGAATGGGCCTCTCGGTGGGGCCGACGCCAGCTGCATGCAGCAGACCCAGAGATTCGCGATATCATGATCATATACGGGGTCCCCGGAAATCCCGACCCTTTCCCTGGGACCGTCTTTCTATCCCGACTCGTTTTTTGACGGCCCCGAGGCCCGGCGAGGGCCCCGCGAGGCCAAACACTGCGAAAAGCCTCTGCCTTGATCTTTTCAATGCGTTGGACCTCTGGGGATTTCGCCCCCCCCCCCCAGACCCCCGACGTCATGATTTTTTCATGACGCGACCCCCAGAGGTCCCGACCCTTTCCCCATGACCGGCTTTGCATGAGTCGTTTTTTGACGCTCCCGAGGCCCGGTGAGGGCCCCCGGACGCCGAAAATGAAGGAAAACCTCCCGTCGTGATTTTTTCATTACTCGAGGGGGTCTGGGTCTGGGGATTTCGCAGCCCTCCCTTTCCCAATCCCCCCCCCCCGGGGACCGGCTTTTCGTCCTGAGTAGTTTTTTGACGGTCCCGAGGGCCGGTAAGGGCCCCCGGAGGCAAAAAATAATGAAAAACCTCCCGTCGTGTTTTTTTCATAACTCGAGGGGGTCTGGGTCTGGGGATTTCGCACCCCCCCCTTTCCCAATCCCCCCCCTCCCTTGCCCTGACCTTCCAGAGAGGTATTTTTCAGCACTGGAAACCTAAAAACCTAAAAAACGAGACGAAACAGCCCAAAACCAAGACGTAAAATGGCTCTGGGATAGGTTTTTACGTCGGGTGCTATGTTCTAGCCCTCCTGGAAGGTCAGGGCCCAATCCCCCCCCTCCCCAGACCCCCGACGTAATGATTTTTTCATTACGTCGCCCTCCAGAGGTCCCGACCCTTTCCCCATGACCGGCTTTGCATCCTGAGTTGTTTTTTGACGCTCCCGAGGCCCAGTGAGGGCCCCCAGAGGCCGAAAATTAGGAAAATCCTCCCGTCGTGACTTTTTCATTACTCGAGGGGGTCTGGGTCCCTTGCCTCCTTTCCCAATCCCCCTCCCCTTGCCTCCGGCCCGATCCTCGCCCCTGCCGAGACTGTAGGGCTGCCTCGCCGGCGGGGGGCCCGCGGGCACCGGCAGGGCGTCGGCGGGGGGCCCCTGCCGGGGGAGCTCGAGAGCGATGCCCAGACACCGGGCGATAGATGCCCAGACATATCGGGCCTCGACGATACGCCCCCAGAGACCCAGACCCCCTCGAGTCATGAAAAAATCACGGCGCGAGGTTTTTCGCTATTTTCGGCCTCTGGGGGCCCTTACCGGCCCTCGGGAGCGTCAAAAAACGACTCAGGACGAAAAACCGGTCCCGGGGAATGGGTCGAGACCTCGGGGGGTCGACGTCATGAAAAAATCATGACGTCGGGGGTCTGGGGATGCAACGCATCGAGCAAAATCGAGGCGGACGTTTTTCATCGTTTCCGGCCCCTCGGGGCCCTCGCAGGGCCTCGGGGCCATCAGAAAACGCCTCGGGGCGAGAAACCGGCCCTGGGGAAGTGGTCGGGAGGTCGGGGGCCCGTGTCTCGAACAAATCGAAACGTCGGATGTCTGGGACCCCAGAGATCCAGCGCATTGAAAAGATCACGAAGGTTTATTTTACAGTATTTTGCCCTCTAAGGCTCAGATGGTCCTGGAAACGACAGGGCCGTTTTGTTACGGGTTCCGTTTTGCCGTGTTTGTTGCCGGTTCCGACGCCGTTTTTTTACCGGTTCTGTCGCCGTTTTCTGATCGGTTCCGGCTCCGGTTCCAATCCTGGAGCCGTTTTTTTGCCGTTTCCGGTCGCCGTTTTTGTTTGCCGTTTCCATTTTCAACGGACATTTTTGGGGGAAACGGTGAAAAAACGGCCCTGCCGTTTCTGGCCGCCCACAAAGCTCGAGGCCCTCGCCGGGCCCCAGGACCGTCAAAAAACGACTGGGGACGAAAATCTGGTCCCGAGGAAAGGGTCGGGACTGCCGTGGACCCCGCATTAGAAAAATCATGACGTCGGAACTCTGGGTATCACACCGACATCCCCAGACCCCCCTCGCGTCGTGAAAAAGTCGCGACGGGAGGAGTGTGTGGGTCTGGTGGTCGTTTCCGCGCCCTTCTTCGGCAGGGAGAAAAAGAAAGAAACCGGAACCAAAACTGAACGGGAACCAGAACCAGAAGGAACCAAAACCAGGACGGAAAAGGACCGCAAAAAAGAAACCCCAAACTGGAACCAGAACCGGAACCAGAACCGGAACGGGGACTTGGAAGGCTCCCCGAACCAAAAAAAGAAAAAGGACACCGGAACCGGAACCAGAACTGGAACCGGAACCATGACCTAGGAGGCCTTCTTCGGGACGCGAAAGAAGGAAATCGAAACCGGAACCAGAACCAAAACCATAACCAACATTTGAAGCGTCCTTGGCCGCAAAAAAGAAAAAAACCGAAACCGGAACCGGACCAGAACCGGAACCACGACAACCGTCACGGACCAAAGAAGAAGAAAGAAACCAGAACCAGAACTGGAACCGGAACCACAACCGTGACCTGGGGGGTCTTCTTATAGGAACCCCGAAGAAGAAAGAAACCGGAAACACAACCGGAACTGGAACCAAAACCGTGACTTGGGGGACCCCGAAGAAGAAAGAAACCGGAACCAAAACCAAAACCGGAACCATCACCATGACTTGGGGGGTCTTCTTTGGGACCCCGAAAAAAAAAGAAACTGGAACCAAAACCGGAACTGGAACCAAAACCGTTGGGGGATCTTCTTTGGGACCCCGAAGAAGAAAAAAAACCTGACCGGAACCTGAACTGGAACCAAAACCGTGACTTGCAATGGGGGGTCTTCTTTGGGACCCCGCAGAATCAAAACCGGAACCGGAACCAAAACGATGACCTGGACGGTCTCTTTAATTGGGACCCCGAAAAAGAAAGAAACCGGAACCAAAACTGGAACAGGAACCAGAACCGTGACCTAAGAGGCCTTCTTCGGGACGCGGGAGCCATAACCAAATTTGAAGCGTCCTTGGGCACAGAGAAGAAGAAGGACACCGGAACCAGAACCGGAACCGGAGCCAGAACCACGACGACCGTAACGGACCAAAGAAGAAGAAAAAGAAATCCGGAACCAGAACAGGAACCGGAACCAAAACTGTGACCTCATGAAGAAGACCCCTGCATGGGTCTTCTTGGGAGCCCCGAAGAAGAAAGAATCCGGAACCAAAACCGGAACCAGAACCAGAACCGAGACTTTGGGGATCTTCTCTGCATGGGACCCCGAAAAAGAAGGAAACCGGAACCACAACCGGAACTGGAGCCAAAACCGTGATTTGGGGGTGGGGGGTCTTCTTTGGGACCCCGAAGAAAAAGGAAAACGGAACCAAAAGCGGAACTGGAACCAAAACCGTGACTTTTGGGATCTTCTTTGGAACCCCGAAAGACAAAAAAAACTGAACTGGAAGAACCAACACTTGAGGCGTCTTTGGGCACAAAAAAAAATAAAACCAGAACCAAAACCGGAACCGGAACCAAAACCACGACGACCGTCACGAACCAAAGAAGAAGAAGAAAGATGGAACCAGAACCGGAACCAGAACCAAAACCGTGACCTCGGGGTCTTCCTGGGAGCCCCGAAGAAGAAGGACACCGGAACCAAAACCAGAACCAGAAGAACCAAAACAAGAACCAGAAGCAGAACCGTGACTTGGGGGATCTTCTTGGGGACCCCGAAGGAGAAGGAAAGAGGAACCAAAACCGAAACCATCACCGCGACTTTTGAAATTTTTTGGGGGACCCCGAAGAAGAAGGAAACCTGAACCGGAACCTCAACCAGAACCAAATTTTGAGGGGTGGGACCCCGAAAAAGAAGAAGAATAATAATAAGAAAAAGAAGAAGAAACAACCGGAACCAGAACCGGAACTGGAACCAAAACCGCAACTTGGGGGGGTCTTCTTTGGGACCCCGAAAAACAAAGAATCCGAAATTGGAACTGGAACCAGAGCCAAAACCGTGACCTTGAAGGTCTTCTTTGGGGACCCCGTCCGAAGAAGAAGAAAACCTTAACAGGAACCTGAACCAGAAGCAAAACTGTGACTTTGGAGGTCTTCTTTGGGACCCCGAAGAAGAAGGAAACCGGAGCCAGAACTGGAACCGAAACCGAACCCTGGAGGGGCTTTTGTTTGGGACCCCGACGAACGAAGAAACCAAACCAGAACCGGAACCGAAACAAAAACCAAAACTGGAACCGGAACCAGAACCAGAATCAGAACCGCAACCGGAACCGCAACAGTGTGTAGGACTGGTCCTGGTTCTGGTCGTGTGGCGGCATTGTTATTAGGTAGTCTCCAAAATGCAAACATGCACTCTGGCCGCGACCAAGATCAGAAATGGTTCTGGTCGCGGTCGCGGACTGGCCTGTTTATTGAGTTATTGCAATAATGTGCCCCGACCGCGCCCTGCCCGAGACCAAGACTGGTATTGGTCACTGTCTCCCGGCGGCATTATCCTGATAGTGCACCCCGACCGCGACCAGAGTCTGGCAACACAGAGTTGGCTTAATTTACTTTGGCGGTCAAGCCTGCCCAGCAGGGGGGGGGGCTAGTGGAACAGAGGGGCGCGTCTAGCACCAAAAAACTTGTTTAAACTCACGTATTCATCAGCTTGGGGAGGGGCCTTGCCGAGCAGAGGGTGCTGCACCATAGCGGGGCACGTCCAGCACCAAGGATGCTTGTTTCATCAGCTTGGGGAGGGGCCTTGACTAGCAGAGGGTGCTGCACCACAGCGGGGCACGTCCAGCACTAATCTTTATATTTCTCCAAATTGGGGAAGGGCCTTGCCTAACAGAAGGTGCTGCACCACACCGGGGCACGTCTAGTACTATATATATATATATATATATATATATATATCATACATATATACACACAGGGGCCTGGCTGGGGGAGGTCCCCGTTCGAGCGCCGACGACGTTATTTGAAGATTCTATTCGCCCAAAGAACTGCGGTGACGCTTCTATTCGGCCTGAAGCCTCTATTCCGCTGACGCCCAGTGAAGCTCGTGAAGCCTCTATTCGGCCTGAAGCCTCTATTCGGCCTGAAGCCTGCATTCAGCCCATGACGCCTCTATTCGGCCTACGAATTGCGACGCACTGGTGGGGTGGCGACCCTAGACGCCTCTGTTCGGCCTGAAGCCTGTATTCCCCTGACGCCCATTGAACCTCGCGAAACCTCTATTCGGCCTGAAGCCTCTATATTCCGCTGACGCCCATTCAACCTCGTGAAGTCTCTATTTGGTCTGAAGTTTCTCTTCCCCTGACGCCCATTGAAGCTCGTGAAGCCTCTATTCGGTCTGACGCCTCAATTCCCCTGGCGCCCACTGAAGCTCGTGAAGCCTCTGTTCGGCCTGAAGCCTCTATTCGGCCTGAAGCCTGCATTCAGCCCATGACGCCTCTATTCGGCCTACGAATTGCGACGCACTGGTGGGGTGGCGACCCTAGACGCCTCTGTTCGGTCTAGAAGCCTCTATTCCCCTGACGCCCATTGAACCTCGTGGAACCTCTATTCGGCCTGAGGCCTCGGCCCACTGAAGCTCGTGAAGCCTCTATTCGGCCTGAAACTTCTATTCCCTGACGCCCGGTAAAGCACGTGAAGCCTCAATTCGGCCTGAAGCCTCTATTCCCCTGACGCCCTGTGAAGCTCGTGAATCCTCTCTGTTCGGCCTGAAGCTTGTATTCCCCTGACGCCAGTTGAAGCTCGCGAAGCCTTTATTCGGCCTGAAGCGTCTATCCCCTTGACGCCCACTGAAGCTCGTGGAGCCTCTCTTTTCGGCCTGGAGCCTCTATTCCCCTGACGCCCGGTGAATCTCGTGAATCCTCTCTGTTCGGCCTGAAGCCTTTGTTCCCCTGACGCCCGGTGAACCTCGTGAAGCCTCTATTCGGCCTGAAGCCTCTATTCCCCTGACGCCCAGTGAAGCTCATGAAGCCTCTATTCGGCCTGAAGCCTTTGTTCCCCTGACGCCCTGTGAACCTCGTGAAGCCTCTATTCGGCCTGAAGCCTCTATTCCCCTGACGCCCGGTGAAGCTCGTGAAGCCTCTATTCGGCCTGAAGCCTCTATTCCCTGACGCCCATTGAAGCTC